AGTTTCCAGCTGTAAGAGTTTCCAGCAATGCCCCCAATTCTTGTACTTTCCAAGTCTTTATTTATGTTTTTCTTATGATATACTTGCTTTCACAAGCAAGTCATCCAGCCAATTCCTAATGCAAACAAAACCCAGCCTGTTGCCATTAAGTTTTTGTGGTTGTTATTGTTAGGTGCCCTAGAGTTGCTGCCAACTCCCTGGAGATTGAACCCATAGCTTCTCTATGTACAACAGAAAGAAACACGGCTTCGCCCTGCACCATCCTCACAATGGTCCCAGTGCTTGAGTCTATTGATACAGCCACAGTGTCAATCCATCCCATTGGGGAGGGCCTTCCTCTTTTCGGGTGCCTCTCCACTTTCCCAAGCATGATCTTCTTCTCCAGGGACTGGTCTCTCCTGACAACACGTCCAAAGTCTGTAAGACCAAGTCTCGCCATCCTTGCCTCTCAGGCAAACTCCGGCCATGGTAAAACTGCCCCCTTTGTTTTCCAAGGTTAGGATCTTATGGAAGTAAATCACCACCCTCTAATTCTTTGATGAGCCACCTAGCATTGCACTATCAGGGCTTCTCCTTCTTGCTTCAAGCAATGGCAGACTAGACCTGCTTTCCTGGGAAGAATGTCAAAGCCATGCCTAGGAGAGTGTGCATCTGACACAGGAAGAATTCATGGCCACTCTGCAGTCACGCCAGCTATTAAAGAGGAGAGAAAATGTCTTCCTTGACTGTCACCACATTCTTCTTCCCATGTGTGGTCTCCGAATCAGAACTAGAAGACAGTGAAATGGTCACAAAGCAATTTCTTCTGGGAGAATAGATCAAGCAAATGAGAAGTTGGTGGTTGGAACCTACCCAGTGACATCTCAGGAAAAAGGTCCAGTGACCTAAGTCCAAAAGATTACAGCTACTGGAAAGCTTATGAAGAGCAGGTCTGTGGTGACACACACGGGGCCACACAGGGCCAGAATCAGCTGGAAGGCAGTGGATGGTTTGGTTACATAACTGAAAATTCACACAAGAAGCAGCCCGACAACACTTGGAAGTTAATAATATTCCATTTCGTAGATGAGAAAACTAACACAAATTTAACTTGGCTGAATAACCAGTCGGGATTAAAACCCCATTTCCTGGCTGATTCTCTGGTTGATTCTCTTTCTTTAGTAGCACATTGCCTTTTACAAACTCAGCTCATGGGAGTCTTAGGCTACTTGCTACAGAGCTTCTCCTCCACGAAGAGTAAGCACATGCTGACATTTCCATCTGACCATTTCCCCAACCACAGAGCAGCGTAAGACTTGTATGCATGGCTGGACAAGAGTCTGGCTGAAGCCATTCTGTAAAGGGAAGCCATCAGTGTTGTGTAGGACATAAAATTGGTCTTGTTTTTGGAAATGTCTGGCACTCTCATGAGATAATTGGTTTCCCAAAAAGGAAAGATAGTTTGGAAATAAAAAAATCTTTAATATTTAGATGCATTTTCTAATAAAATGCCGAAACGCCAATAGAGAGGTTTTTCAAGGTGTTTTTGAAACCCCAAGATATTCCCTGCTTGCTACTTGCAAGCACTGAGTAAGGGCTAGAGGTTTTGTGGTTGAGTTGAGGCATCTGTTGAAGAAGAAACCGCTTGGCAGGAGATGTGTGGCCGCACTTCACGGCAGCCAGCAACCCTCAGCGATCCCTGTCTTCCTGGTCCCCAAGCAGCCACCGCCCTCGCTTGACTTTAGTGGTGGTTTTTTCCACCAGGCAAACGGAGGTTGAGGGCAGAATTCATCTTTGAAACCAGCAGCCGCCACTCCTTATACGCTTTCTCTCTTCTAAATGTCCAGTCTCTCACTCTCTCCACCTGCTGGGTGCACTTGGGTCATCGTGGGGTTCTAATAGGTCCCATTTTGATGCTGGTATCAATTGAAAAAGCTCTGCCATTGGTTTCCTCGTTCACAAGTTTGGAGGGGGAGAGAACTTAATGCATCTCTTTTCAAAGGTGTGCTTCCTACACCATACAATTTACCCGCTTATGTCATCCTTATGGCTGTGGGGAAAAAAGCGGCTCAACTCTTTCGACTGCTTCTGTCACCCTGAATGTGATTGCCACAAATCAGTCCATCAAAATCAGATGCTCCTCTCTGATGATGCAATTTAATGTCTGATCCCTGCTTACCCCTTGCTGGTGGTCTGTCATCACTTGCACAATGTTCTAAAGAGATGGTCAACCCTTCTCTCGCGAGGCAAAGAAACGGGCCGACAGGCTACAGTCAAACGTTTGATGACTCCTTCTTCACATGCGCTTCATTTTGCTCCTGTTTCTTGTTTCTCCTTCCCTCGCTCCACTTGCCTTCCGCTTCCAGCTCTCCTTATTCTTCTACATCTTTCTAAAAGCGCTTAGTGAGCTGGTCTACGTTCCTGGCACTGTGTGCTCCATGCTGAGAACACAGACTTAGACAAGGCTGTTGCCTTCAAAGATTCCAGCGACTAGAGCAGGAGGCTGAAAACTCCAAAGACCAATTCTCCCGCCTCCTAATTTT